GTTAAACTTGCAATTTGTAAAAGTTCGGTATTTGATATAGTCGTTGGCGAATTTTGAAATACCAAAGTTGAAGTGCGTCCAACCACTTTGTCATAAAGTGGCCTACAAAAGATACAAAAAAAAAGAGCAGAATTTTGAATAAGCGGGTTCCCGCTTGACAACTCACTACTACTGAAGCCGTAAATGCGGTTTCGCACTTTTCTCTGGAGGTGGCCGTTGACGCGGGCTAAGACCTAAAGGAGCCGGCTAATGGATCGAGTGAACGAACCATAGGCCATTCGGCTATAATAGGCAAGTCGTCGACTATTTGACTATCGTATACGCCCACTCACTTAATGCTATCAACTTTTACAAAGATGCCAAAAGACTATAAGGGAAAGTCGGAGAAGGGGTTTCCTCACCTGAACCTAGATTTGAGACTATTTAACTGCCGGATCAATGAAGTGTATATCAGACGGAAATTCTGGTCGCCCAGGAGGGATCGGCACTACCTTGTCAGATGGGGAGATATTAATCTAACCTGATATAACACCGTAAGACAAAAACAAAAAAAATTCGAAACAAAAAAAGCAACCAAACTGTGGGCCACATAAAGTAAAACTGCGTTTTTAGTTGGACTTTGTAGTTTCAATAATATGACTAATACTAAAAATTATTTAAAAAATTCAGTACAATGTAAAATAACAATATGGACACCAAATGGAAGAGAAAATTCTGTCCGTGTGCGCAACAAAGGCCATATAGAACCGGAGGCAGCCAGGTATCCGGAGCACTCTGTTCGACACTGGGCTAGTTATTATTCTGAATCCGCAGCCCCTGTGAACATCAGAACGGGTCGTCTAACACCTTGTTCAAACTCAGAGCTTGTTTCAAGATCAAAAACCATTTCAATATAACTTAATTATTGAGGAGCTTGAGCACAAAGCACTGATTTCTGATTTTTGCTGGACACCATTCTGACATCGTACATAATTTAAAATGTAATGACCATTACCAGTCGGCGCCCACGTGCAGGGCTCAGCCGGAGGATTTTCGCGAACCAGAAAATTCTTTGGAATTTAAACAAACTAAAGCTTTTTGTTTCGCAAGGACGAATAGGTATTGAAAATTCGAGGACGTGGTCGAGTGTATATTAGTTTTTAACATATGATTTTTTCAAAAATATTTATTGTGAAATTTCAAGAATATTCAAGGATAAAATCTTAAAAGGAAATTTTCAATACTTAAATCTCCTTATGTACAAAAAAAAAAATGTAATCGGATTTAATTATGCAGAGGTTTTCTCTAATTTGATACACTTGCTGTTTTTTCATACTTTCCTACTGAATTTTTTTCAAGTAATTTTTTGAAGTAATAATATTTTTAAAATTTCAAAGTCCTTTTAAAAAAATCCTGACATCAGAGAGAAAAACTAAAAACGCAGTGTTACCATATTTGTCCCACTTTTGCGGTAGATATACTTAAATAAATATCCATCGAGAAATGTAAAATCAAATAGATTTACCGAATACTTTCTTTCTAGGTACTTAAGTGTGTCACTTGGCTATAAATTTTGGTTGTCAATAAAATATGCTTTCCTTACATAAATTAAACCTAAATATTTTACAAAACCAAAATATGATTGTAATAAAGTCAGTCCAAAAAAAAAAAAACGATAATCAAAAACTACCGCGAATGCCACCACTTTCGAATGCCCGTCACGTACGCATGCGCCTTTTGTTCGAGTGTTTGTAAACAGCAAATATTTATGATTATTACGGGTTCCGAGTTTCTAAAATGTGAAGGCAACTACATACATATGTACATTCGATTACGGGCAGTTGTTGGACTGATTCAAATTTTCTTTAATATTTTTCGACATACTCACCTTCCTGTACCAGCTTCTTGCAAACGGGCCGAGCATTCACCGACTTATAACCCGCCGAATATGAACAATTCACGTAGCTCCAGTAGCGTTGTTGATCGGAAATAAATTCTGGATCGAAGGGATCATCGCAGAAGGCACCATTGGAGACATCAGTTGAACAGCGCCAACATTTCAGCAAAGCCTCGACTGTAATGCGAAAAAGTAAAAGCGTTTTTTAGTAGCACATACATATTATTTAAGGAAATTAAGTAAAATTCATAGAGCTAAAAGTGTTAATCAAGTAAAAAAAAAAAAAAATTATATGCGAGTTGATATTACTTTTACTTTTTAGCGGTGTGATTCATTCAAGCGTGTGCACAAGACATTAACTAGCTAAACCTTGACTTAGTGGGAAATTTGCAATTTTATGTACAATGCAGTGGTAAGAAGAAGAGTGAAGTCATGAGAAAATTTTCAAGTTTCGCTAGATTGTTTTTTTTTTTTACTGTACAAGTTGCACGTGCTCTATGCGAAGGCAAATACAGTTGAAAATCTTATAATATAAGGAATTAATTTATTGTTGCAATATAAACTCGAAAATCTGTTTTGGTTTTAGTTTTACACTTTCTGGATATTAAAAAAATATTTACCAAGAACTTACAGTCATTTATTTAAATGAAAAATAATTTTTTTTTTTGAAATTCTTATGAAAACTAGCAGAAGGGGAAAACTACTTTTCCACCTTAATTTATTGGCTTTTTCTTTTCTACCAGGCACAAATACTAAGGAAACGGCAATAAGAGGGCAACATTTTTTGTAGAAAAGAAAACGCCATAAGTTTTCGCCAAACGAATCAAGGTCAACAATGTTGATGAAAAGTTTAAAAAAAGTTGATACTTTAGGATTTATTATGTACATTTTTTGTGACTACTACAATCCCACATATCATATGAGTAATCAAAAATGAAAAGCGCAAATCTGAAACTCACCACTTTTCTAATTAGAATAATTTATGCCGCCCAGAATTCCTGAAATGCACTCACTTGTGTAAGCTGTCATTTTAGTAAAATCTTGTGCCGCATTTATCATCTATAATCCCAATGCATATTCATTAAATTTTATAACACAAAATAGTTTAATTGCTAAGGGGGGATGGTAAGCAATCTTAGCAATAAATGCAAATAAATTGTTTATTACACAAAGATATTTTTATTCATTTAATGCGGCATACAAATTAGCTGATGAATTTATTGCACACGATTTTCATTTAAAAAATTGATTGCGTTACACTTTTGTTTTCTTGCCAATCGCCCTTACTGCTACAACTAAATAGAAAGGTAGGTGCCTGGAAGCAAACGAAAGCGAGCAATTAGAATGCAAAGCTGGTCACCGAATGTCTACCTAAGCTGAGAATTAATTTAATTTAAAAAGGGCGTATGCGTCACTTACTCGGTAATGCGACTCATTAAAATGCCACTAATTATTTTAATTGTTGGTGGAGCGATGGGAAACTACTTTGTGCGCCTTTCCATTGAGAAGGGAGGGGGTGGTAAAAATGGAAAAATAAAATCTGCGTTAAAAACTAAAGTAGTTGGAATGGAAGTAAAATTTGCAAAGTTCGTGACACCTAGAATGCCACAAAAAGTTTTAATTAAAATGAAATAGATGAAATAAAACGGGATGATTTACTGCGCGATAAAAAGGGTAGTAAAAAGAAACACCGAAAAAAGATTGCCTGAGTACAAAAGGATATTATCATCGTTTATTGGGTGTTTGGCCAATTTTTTTTTGATTTAAAAAAAGCCTCATAATAGCAAATGAGAAGAAAGTTTTAATTGGAGATTTAGGAGTACGTTCCCAACTATGCCATTGCCTGTTATATTTTAATGCATAATTGCACGTGTTTCATCGAAGAAAATACGGTATTTCAGGCTCAAGATTCTAACTGAAGTAGTAGAGGCAAAAATTAGAGGGGAACTTCGTCTAGTTCGTCATCGAGGTCCTTTCAACCAGATTGGCAGAAACAGTATGTAGTAGCAAATAAAATCATACAGCCAAAGCGGCCCACAGGGAGGATGCCATCATCCCTTCTTACAGACTAAGATATCTCCCAGGCCTTCGCCCTATAACGCTCGCGCTGACTCCAACATGTGCAGAATACAAAATCAGGAGTGTACTACCCCTATTTCCTGCAGTGGATGTAAACCAACACACACAGAGCGGTGGCATGGTCCGAACCAACCGTCTTCAAAGACTTGAACCACCGTAGCCTTGTAGGTCATTCCCGACCTGACGCACCTGAACGTAGTCATAGAGCAGACTGCAAAGGGAGCCGTCTCCAACTTCTCGAGGGAAGGAACAGGCAACAGCAGAGGCCTGATAATTGGCATTTCCAGCGATAGTCAACTTACACTAAAAGCCAAATCTTCAAGTGAAAATAGATCATGTAGAGGCATTGAAAACTCTAGGGAACACCACACAATACGGCTGATGTGGGCACCAGATCATAAATGCAGATAAGTTACGGAGGAATCGGACAGAGTGGCAACGAAGGCAGCAACTACCCGGCTAATAAGACGAGAGCCCTTCCTAGCTATACCACAACCTACTATCAAGGAAGCGTTAACAACAGAGCAGCCCTACAAAAAGTTGCAACGCTAAGCGATTTCCTCAGGCGAATCCTGTCAACCTACAATGCAGTGACACAAATCGAATTGCAACTTCTGCGATGCGGTCGATAGAAAGAGGCATCACATTTGAAATTTTTGGGTTTCACTAGGGTCAGACCAGGTCTGTTGATGGATTTTAAGGGCAGAATAGAGCCAAGGGTAGCAGTGCACATCCTCCAATATACATACATACATATTTAACTATCTATGTGCATATGCATGTAAATGCATGGCAAGAATCTGCGTTTGCTATGAGATTACCTTGCACGCCAATATTAATTATCTTCAACGAAAGTAATCATTTAGTAAAGAAATTAAGTATTGCCTCATAGGTGTAAGTAATTCGAAAAGATTTAGAGTGCATTTGACACTACAAGTGAGCGAGGAATTCTTGAGTTGCATCGCTGTGTCATTAGGGAATACACATATGCTTACATACATATGTATGTAGATCTGTGTACCTCATACTTTACTTAAGCGACACAAAAATTTATCACCGCCATTGCTCGAGTGGCCACTTAAGTTACGATGGCCTTAGTACGTTGCACGAACAGTAGCCGGCAATTTTGTCGCTTGTGTGCCATAAAGCGCTGGAAAATGATAGAGTGGCACGTTAAAATTTAAATTAATTAGTTTTATGTAAACTTAAGATACGAGCCAGGGAGATTGCATGGCGAATATTTACATACATAAATCTAGTAGAATTTATGGAGGAAATGCACAGGTTTGTATATCGGCGAAAAAATATGCATGAATCTGTTAGGCAAGAAACTAATTTGGCATATTCGCCATTCGATTGAAATATTTGGCAGGTCGGTTAGAATGCCTACTGCAAGCTTTAAAAAACTGTCAAAGCTTTAGAGTTTTTGTTCATGGGAACTTTTGTAAACAAGGCATTAAACTTAAACACACTTCAAGTGCTAGAGTAACTCCAAAAAAAAAGAGAAAATAAAAATCAAAATAGAGTAAAATAAGTAAATATATATTTTTGTTTTTCTCAGTATGCCAATACTACTAGTGTGCTCGTAAGTTGAACCCGCCTCTCGCATTTACATACTGGCTCAAAACTAGAAAACTGTACACGCTGCAGGTTGTTTTGTTTGTTTTCAAAGCCGATATGACACAGTCGTACACGTACAAACATAAGTACGAATATTTTAAAATTTTAAACTTTTTACACACATACATACATACACACGTACATGTGCTATAGTAGCACTCATGGGAACAGGTGGTATGCATATCGCCTCTTTTGGTCGCATATCAATTAGTGAACGAACCTCTTTCTCGAGTCGAGTGCGCTGCGAGTCGTCCGATACCAACAACAATAAACCACGTTAGAGCTCTTATCAGAATGTGGATACACTTCTATGTGGCAAGGGAATTGGAACTAAAGGCCAGGAATTGGGTTCGCATCGAATGTACTTCTCGGCGGAATGACTTTGCCAAGGGTTCTTTGGATAGGAAATTGCATTATTCTCAACCGCGCGGCCCACCACGCTTTGTTTGGCTAAACTCTAAGAGTGCGGTGATTGTCACCCGACACATGGCGCGCTTAACTTTCGCTCAATTTAAGCGCTTCACCACTGATACTGCAGACGTTAGCAAAAGAGAAGAGAGATGAGAGAGCGGCAAGTGTGGAATTTTGCTCTAACATAACATAACATAAATAAAATTTATTCTGAAAATTGTACTGGCAAACTTGTATGTAGAATAGAATCTATCAATGCTAAAAATATATTTGCATAAAAAATAGATTTTTTTTTAAATAAATAAAGCATTTTTAATATTATTCACAAAAGTCTTTTTCTTAGTTGTTTTTTGTTTTAACAAAAAATATTGTTGGGGAATAGAGATTACAGCGCTGTTACACATAATTGAAGTAAATTTAATAATTCATAACACCCACTTTAACTGCAGCTTAATAGTTCAAAATGAGTGAATAGTGCGTTCCATCCAACCTAGTTTCAAAGAAGTGGTCGGAAATATCGCGCAAACAAGTAAGAACAGCGCTATCTTCGGTTATGCCGAAGGCTACATACCTTTCATGAACATTAGAAAATTTTACTTTAACAGATGACTGCATTAGAAAATTAGTTGTTTGGGAGCTAAACAAAATATCGAGCCCTAACCGCCAAAATAACGTAAGCGACATTTTTTTCAAAATTTTCTTTTTGATGCAGAAATATTCCTAGAGCATCTAGACGATATGCTTATTCACAGAATACTACATAGATGTATGTATATAAAGAAAGTCATATCTATCAAGCATTGATCTAATTGATTTTGACTGCTGTGTGTGATCACTGATCGGTATGTAAACCGGTAACACGCATCTAACTCTTGGCTATGTCTTTAGTCATTTTAAATGATTAAATTTCGTATTTTATTTTCGATGTAAAAAACATTCTTAGAGGAAGGATGAATTTAAACCAAAATCAATTAAATTATTTTCTGCTCTTCATATACATATAAAGTACTATGGAGCACTGCAAATATGTATACACACATATATTTAGGTGACCCCAAGTCACTAAA